TACAAGTGGAAGAAGGCCTAGCCTGTGCTGACATAAATTGCACACTCCTCCATTCATATTGCCAGATGACAGAAACGCAGCCATGTCAAAGTGACAACTTYAGGCATGTCCATGCCACTCAATTTCTGGGGCAGAACCTGAGAGGTAGATATAGGGTGGGCTGACCCATGGCAGGTTTGGCCAGCAGGGTAGGACATGGCACCTACCCGGGCAGACATGGAGGTGCCTAGACTTGTTGCATGACATGAGTGGTCCTGTTGCAGGTACTGGTGGCACTCAGTGAACACCAGCTATATGGTGATGTTAGATGCAAAACTGTACCCATTCCACTACAAGATATCCCTTCCATGGTCCTTACCATTCCTTCCACATTGGCTGGGGCCCCATGTGCAGATCTGCACTTAGAGGTATGATCATGGCATGACAACTGCTTCTGATCTTGAACTCATAGAGGACATAGTAATAGAAGGGGTGTCCGTTGAGGTCCCCCAGTGTATGCAGTTTGGGGGAAGTTCACATGGAGGATAGTCATATGCTGGAGACACAGAAGGTCAGACTTCAGGTGTCTCACATATCTATGGCTGGGATGGAGGGGAAAGAATGGCAGGCAGTCTCTTATCTCTATATTCTTGCAGTTACCTCCTCAAGCACCCATGTTGTGGGATTCCCTATCCATGATCCCCTGAGTGTACATCCTGGGATAATCATGTTTAATTCCACCAATGCACTTAGAGTTCCTTTTTTCCAGTTCTGATGTTGCTTCTGTACATCTCACTACTTCCTACTACCTCATTCTGACATCTCCAGGTATCTGAAAACTACTTCCCCAAATGCAGTAAAGGATTCCACTTTAAGCCAGTGGTACATGCCTGTAATCTCAGCAGCTCAGGAGGCTGAGGCAGAATGATCACAAGCTCAAAGATAGCTTCTGCAACTAAGCAAGACACTGTCTCAAAAAATAAAAAATAAATCAAAAGGGTTGGGGATGCACCTTTGTGTTAAACACCCCTGGGTTCAATCCCTGGTACAAAAAAAAAWTTTTTTTTAAATAATTAATTAAATTTGGGTTGGAGTTATGGCTCACCTAGCACGTGTGAGGCACTGGGTTTGATCCTCAGCACTGCATGAAAACATATAAAAAAATAAAGATATTAAATAATAAATTAAAGGGCTGGGGATGTAGCTCAGTGTTAAGCACCTTTGGGTTCAATCCCCCAATACCAAAAAAAAAAAAAAAAAAAAAAAAAAAGATTTCACTTCTCAGTCCTTCACCCAAACTAGAAATCTGTATATCATCCCATTTAACCACATAAATTATTAGTATGTTTCATTATTTATCAACTGTCTTTCTTGCTTTCATGTTAGCTCCAACAAAAACCTTGTCCATCTGCCACCCATCAAACTGCCTAGAAAATGCCTGACACCACTGTCATGTATTTTATTAAAAAATAAAACCAATTAAAGGGCTGGGGATGTGGCTCAAGCGGTAGCGCACTCGCCTGGCATGCGTGCGGCCCGGGTTCGATCCTCCAGCACCACATACAAACAAAGATGTTGTGTCTGCCAATAACAAATAAATAAATAAATATTTTAAAAAAATAAAACCAATTAAAGGGCTGGGGATGTGGCTCAAGCGGTAGCGCACTCGCCTGGCATGCGTGCGGCCCGGGTTCGATCCTCCAGCACCACATACAAACAAAGATGTTGTGTCTGCCAATAACAAATAAATAAATAAATATTTTAAAAAAATAAAACCAATTAAAAAAAGAAAGAAAATGTCTGACAGAGGGTGGAGCTTAAAGAACCCTTATTAAATGTACACATGGATGAAGGGATGGGTCTCTGATTTCTCTTTCTGCTCTGCACCTTAAACACAAAGCTGAGGCTTTCTCACATGTCTTTTCTCTACAGGCCTCTCCTCTTTCCTCTGCAGCTTGCAGATCCAATGTGAGGGCCCAGGATAAGCAGTAAGTATAGTTGAAATTAAAGTGGGGAGGGAATACCTAGTACATGTAAGGAAGTCTTGTTTAGAATCTGTCCTTCTCTGGTATCCTCCTGGACTGACTCTGCTGGTTATGATTATATAGCTCTCTAGTCCTTTAACAAAAGACTTATTTACAATAAAGAGTTCATATCCAGAGATTCCCTGATGCCACCTAGAGGCAACTGCAGGGACAAGAGGGACTGACAGGCAAGGATCATGAATCTAGRAGGGCAATGACAGGAGGACCACAACAGGGGAGTTATGAGGAGCAGTCATAGAACAGAGATGAGGACAACAATGGGGACAGTAACAATGGACTACAATAGAGCTCCATAAGGGGTTCAGTGATGGTTCAGAGATAGGAGATAAATGGAGATGGCTCCCCTTTGCAGTCCCTATGCTCTAGGGAAACAATAATGGGAAGCCAACACAGGGACCACAATAAAGGACCCTGATGGGGCACAGCTAAGGAAACTGAGCTGGCTACCTGCCCTGCTCTGTCAGTGCAAACCCCCAGGCAGGACCTTATTTCCCTACATTGTCTGGCTTTGTCCTGACATTCCAACGCACAGGATTATTTGGGTCCTCCACTAGAATGGCAGGGTCTAGAACTTTAAAAATGATCTAAGAGGAGGAAACAGGCTTCGCCAGACCCCTTCCCTTCCTCTCTAGGGTTGAACTTGCCCTTAGTGGAAAGCTCAATGTTCAAGGAATGCTGGTCATAGACAAGGTCACTGACCTTTTGGACAGGGGCAGAAGAGAATCCCAGGAAAAAAAGCATAAACAATTATTGGCAAAGCCTTGGTACATGTGCTAGGAGTGGGCATGGTCCACTCAAAGAGCAGAGCTGTTGGGTAGAATGTCTACAGACAGGAAGGGGGCCTTGGGTCACCAGGGATAAGCATCCTTGGTGACCATCAAGTAGGGAAGCATAGGATCAGCACTTGCAGGGCAAGCCTTCAGGCTGGGGCACTTTTCATGATAATAAATGGGGTAGAGATATCCTTTAGGTCCAGATGAATGGCAGCAATTTCAACACAGTCAACCTTAGGTCTAATCCATAATCAGGCCTTGACCCTAGACTTCCACCTAGGGCCACGCCAGTACCCTTACCACTCTGCCTGCCACCAGGTCTTGTTGCTTCCACAGCCACTCTGGGAGATCACATTCTCCATGTCATGTCCTCCCTGGTCCCGAAAGTCATAAAAGCAGCAATTCTTGAGTTGTCAGGGAGGGCCCAGGGAGACTTGACTAGGCAGGAGGTGCAGGTCAGCTTCTTATTCCAAAATATCATAGCACAGGGTGCTCCCTCCAACCCCCAGCAATGACCCAGACCCTCATAGGACTCTAACCTATCCAGGACACCCAAAAGAAACTGCCCCCACAACTAAAAGACAGCAGTCTTGAGGGCTCTCACTCTCTTACCTACCTGCAGGGTAACAGACAACACAATACTGTTTGGGGCCATGAAAGTCACAGGTGGATGAAATTTGAGGTTTTGGTTTACCAACAACCAAGTTGCCAGGGGACAGGTAACAACTGTTGCTTGAGCAGCCAAGTGAGTACACCTGGCACCCTCTGGCCAACTGATCTAGGAGCTGGGACTGGGAGGTGTAGTCTTTTTTTTTTTTTTTTTAATGGTACTGGGGATTGAACTCAGGGAACAGTCAACCACTGAGCCACATCCCCAGCCCTATTTTGTATTTTATTTAGAGACAGAATATCACTGAGTTGCTTAGTGCCTCACTATTGCTAAGGATGGCTTTGAACCTGCGATCCTCCTGTCTCAGCCTCCTGAGCTGCTGGGATTACAGGCATGCGCCACCCCACTCGGCTGTGGGGTAGAGTCTTAAGTAGAAATCTGAGATACCCCTACTTCACCCCATCCCACCAGGAGGCCAGATTCCTCCTCCCCCTCTGCTTGGCCCTCTTGCAACAACCAACCCTCACCCACTGGTGGCAGCAATAGAAATGGAAGGAGACCCAACTCTACCAGGAGTCATAAATGCTGGGACCTGGAATCAGGCCTGAGGGAAAATACAGAGTGGGTCCCAAAAGGCAGCCCTTGAAGAGGTACTGTGGCCCTTAGGTCTTTCCCATTCTCACAATGAAAGCAGAACCCAGAGGGTAAGTAGCATGCAGGATTGAAGGGTTACAGCACAGATGGTTGCAAAGATGTCCTCAGAGTTTGGGGAACCAAGGGAGGACAATACACTCAGGGGAAGGACGTTAATCGTTAATTACTTAGCGGTACCCAGGGGCAGAAGAAAGGGGGCGGGAACATCTAGAGCTTCTCCACAGGCCCACCACTCAGGGCAACTAGCAATAGTAGGGCTCAGACAAACCCAGAGACAGAGAGGATCTGATTCTCATCCAAACAAAGCTCTCCCCTCCATCCCTGAAATGCTGTCCCCAGGAGCCTTTGGGCAATGTGTCTCCCTCCCTATGTGCTCAGCCACTGCTATATAGCCTGGGCAACCAGTGATGAACCACAGATGGATAGGGCAGCTGGTTACATTCAAGGCCCAGCCCTCCCTCCAAAGCAGGATGTGCCAATAACACCTGAAATATACAGGTCTGTGATGGGGGGCATGGTGAAACTGTACCTGGGAGTAAACAAAGCACTTGAAAAGCACTGCTGATGAAGCAGAGATGGAAACTCAGATACCCTACATAACTAAGAAAATTCTTTGGTCAGTGAAGGCAGGCTCTATAGTCCTAATTGAATGCCCAGTACTTTACCACCAACTGGAGAAACAAGCTAGTACATTCTCAGCAGAGGCACTTCAACCCCTTTAAGCTTGGCCCCATTCCAGACAAAGCCAGGGTATCTTTTGTCCCCCAGTAGCAGTACCACAAAGTCTCCCTTCCCTGGCCTAAAATACTGCTAGCTGCAAGGTTCCCCACTGAGCTGCCCAGTCCTACTATACAGGGTCTGACTGGATAAAAAATAGGACAGCCTCAAGGTGAAGTATCCTACCTCACAGAGGCTTTGCCCCTACCCTCATGAGATGTCTCTCACATACCCACAGAAGCCAGTATCCAAATTCCCACTAGTCTTTCCAGAGGGGCCTATGCTTCCCCTTTATGCCTTCCTACCCCATCACTCAAACCGACTGGGACAACTTTCCCTATATGCTCAAGCTGGCTTGCCAGCAGCCACACACACAATAAAAGACCATGGAGGGTGGGCAGGAAGACTGGAAGGTGGAAAGGTATAAAACATGATAGATGGAACAGTGGACATACAGCTTGAAGAACAAGTCACAGTGCATTGCGCCATAAGAACACCCCTCCCACTACCCACCCCACCACAAATCCTCCAGTTTCTGAAAGGAGACTGGCAGCCACAGGGGCCCTGGAGAGGTACCCAGAATCCTCAAAGTTGCAGAGTCCACAGGCATGGCACACTGTGCCAATGGCCACACACACAGTTGGGCTGTTTTCTCAAACATTGCTGTATGAAGGAATCAGGCTGTTGAGTATGGCAGCAATGGCTGGAGCCATATTATAGGAGACAGGTTCACACGGAGTATCTGTTGGGCCCGCTGTCGAACCTCATCATCTGAGGACTGCCTGTCTACCTTTATGGCCCAGAACTTTAGGAGCTTTGCTGTTGCTGGCCCCAGCCATGACTTAGGAGATCGGGGCCCCAGCCGTGTTCTCTTCTTAGGATGAAGGTCCTTTGCTTCCTCAGCCCTTTTCCTCTTCTGCCCCACAGTCTCAGAGTAGGTTTTCTGGCCCTTCCTTGCAGTTCTGGCCTGAGCAGATCCCTTTGGCCTGCCCCTGCCCTTGGGCTGGGTCTGAGCTGCTTTGGCCTTAACTGCCTTGGCCTTGTCCTTAACTGCCTTGTCCTTGACTGCCTTGGCCTGCACTGCCTTGGCCTTGGCCTTGACTGCCTTGGCCTTGGCCTGCACTGYCTTGGCCTTAGCCTTGACTTGTGCTGCATCAGCTTTGGCTGCCTTGGCCTGTGTTCGAATCACGTTGGCATGGGCATAGGCAGCTTTGGACACTGTTTGAGCTGCCTTGGCCTGGTCTGATTTAGTGCTCAGGGCAGAGCCCCCTTTCATTTGCAGATCACTGAGAGAACCAGTGGTTCTGTAAGTCTTGCTCTGGAGCCCAGTGCCTCGTTGGGGTCCAGCCCCAGGGCCTTTGCGAGTCAGACACTTGGGGCCCTTGTTCGTTTTTCTGGGAGCTTTGGGCTGGGGGTTCCCTGGACCCTTCCCTGAACCTTTCCGCAATTTCAGGGGAGAGTCTGCAAGTGAAAGTCTTAGTGACTGTGCCTTGTGCTTAGCACCTAAGCAAGGCATGGGAGTCTTGAGTGGAACCAGAGCCTCAAGGACAACTGAAAGCCGCATAGCAGGGTAGACACTTGGATAGAGGTGAGCAGGGAAGCCCACTGTTGCACCCTTGGCACGGCTGGCACTTGACTGCTTCAGGGAGCTCAGCAGCAGATTGGTGGTAGCATGTTTGGTGAGGGTTGGTGTGGACCCTTTGGCCAGCCTGCCAGACAGTGGCATGGGGAGCAATGTGGCCCTGCCTGAGGGCAGCTGAATGGCAGTTCGGGGAGCACTGGCTGGAGGTGATGTGGTAGCTGGGATGGGGGCACGAGCTTGTAGTTTCGTCTGGCTTGGAGGGTTGGCTGTACATGAACTATACCCATAGACATCACCACTGCGCAGAATGGTAGGTTGGAAGCCATCATCTCGCAGACCCTGTAGAAAGGCCACAAGCTGGGCCTCTGTGGCACTGAGATCCTGGCTCATGGGGTTAAAGACAAGCAGCGCCTCTTCCAGGGCCTTCTTTCCTGCTGTGGAGATGCGCGACCAGGAGTGCACAGCTTTTTCCTCCACATGCTGCACCACCACACTCATGGCATTAGGCACTGCAGATCTGCCTAGGTATCCGTAAATCAGCACTTGGCACCTCCAAGGCAAGAAGAAAAGAGTCAATAAGAATGGCACCAAGATATGGAGCCAAAGCAAGTAGACAGGTCTATCAGCGACCCCATTCTCTATGTCACTGAGGGAACTAGCCAGAGTGAGTCATTTCCTGGGGTAAAACCCTAGTCTGATGACCCTCAACCAGTTTGGAGTGGGTATTGATTAGCCATTTTTCAGTAGCTCAGAAGAACCCAACCTGCTCCTGGAAAACTTTAAATCTAGTTCATTTTAATTAATTTCTACATTTTCTTTTCCTTCTTTTGAGACAGAATCTTGCTATGTTGTCCCAGCTGGTCCTAAACTTATAAGCTTAAATGATCCTCTCACCTAAGCCTCCCTAGTTGCTGGAACTATAGGTGTGCAGCCATCTAAGGCTTAAATTTTTTTTTTTTTTTTTGTGGTTCTGGGGATCAAACTTGGGTCTCTGCTCATGCTAGGCAAGTGCTCTACTACCGAGATAGTGTTCTACCACTACATCCCCAGTCCTTATTAAATCTATATTTTTCTGATGCCAAAAACCTAATTGGATAGCCCTGGGAGCACAAGCCAACATCTCTGTCTTCAATGAGCCTGGTCCAGAAGGTAAGTCACAGGCACCATTAATGCTCTTAGGAGCATATGGTGTAACCAAGCTTAGCTTGCCAATAAGTCAGGAAAGAACTCCTGCAAGAGGCAACATCTACCTAGGATGAGTAATGAATAGAAAAGTACCAGGTAGAAATGAAGATTATACACTGGCTCTGAACTGTGAAAGAGTAAGGCACATCTGATGGGGAGTCTGGGGCCAGGCTGAGTTTAGCTGGGAAAACAGGTCAAGGGTAGGACTGTTTTCCCAGCTCTGAAGTTTTGCCAAAGGGCCCGCACTTACACCCAATGTCCACTCATCTGTGTGCCTCCAGCTGCTGGTGTTCAGTGCTGGTTGGGTGGGGGTGGGGGGTGTCCCTGCCCAGAAGTTTTGCTTTCAGAGGCTACTTGATAGTCCAAATCCTTGCTTTAGAGTCATGGAGACCAACCCCAGGCAAAGACAGAGACTCACTAAAAAGCTGATGAGTAACAGGTACAGATGAAATCTCTAGGCAACCAGGCAGCCTGGGGATCAGGCAGCCAGACCAAAAGCCCAAGGTTTGAAGACAGTGGAAGAAAAAGGCTCTGTATAGGATGGCGAGTCACAAGAACAGCAAAGGCCTGAGACCTCCAACCTCAGAGCTTAGAGGGCAACAGACAGCAGAACATCCCAGAGTTGTCTGGGAACACCCAAGTTGTCCCAGGCTTCTCTGAAGCTGTGTACGTCAGTCATGACTATTATCTAGTACCCAACCCAGAGTTTCAGGGTTCCCATAGGCAAGTGGCAGCTCCCCGGCTGCACTGGAGCATTAAAAGATCAGCTGGGATCAGGCAGGTCCCTGGGGCCTTGAGGACTGGCTGTACAGATTGTTCCCACCGCTCTAATGGAGCAGATGAAGTCTTCAGAATCCCCTGGAGGAAGTGCCCTAGGGCTCTTTGTTTGGAAACATTCTTGAATCCTCAGGTGTCTGAGGCACTTCCCCTCCCCAGAGGCCGCTCTACAAGCACAATCCTTGCACATGACTTTTAGTTCTTTTTATTTATTTATTTGAGGGGATGTAGTTCCCAGGGCAGTGAACTGTAGAATAGAGAGAGGCCTATTCCCACCTGCAACTCCCGGCGCTGATACTAGGATGACCCCGGGGCTCTTCGCCTAGGTCAGTGGGAACCCATGGTAAGGGTCTTCTTGGCTTTCAAGAGGCTTCGGAAACAGGACGCAGCCGGGCCCCGAACTTGCCTTCACAAGTGCCTCTGGGCCAGCAGGGGAGGCTCACCAAAGATGGGGTCGGGTGAGGCGCCAGACAAGTGGAATGGTGTCAAGGGGCATATCGGGACCCTTTGGCTAGGAATCCGCGTCCCAGGAGCCCAAAAGGAGAAGGCGGGGCAGGGGTCACAGCGGCAATGAAATATGTAGGGTGGGCCGTCCTAGCTCGACCCGGACCGCGCAGCCCCAGGGTGGGGTTGCTGATGGGGGAGGGGTGGGAGCCTGGGCCAAACCAGGAGAGAACGCGGGTCCGGGAAGCGTCAGCCGCCCGGGCCCTCCGCCCTGCCTCCTCGCGGGCCGCCACTCCGCGGCGCGGCTAGGCCCGCGGCTCCAACCTACCGGCGCCGCCGCGGGGACCCAGGACGCACCTCTGCGCCGCCTCCGATGCTCCAACATGGCCGCCCGCTGCGCGCCGGAAGTGTGCCGCGCTTCCGCTTCCGGACCCGCCCTAATGACCCTTGACCCCCCGAGACCCCATTTCCCCCCAAAGTCTGGGGGGGAGGCAGATTGAGTACCCGGGAGGACTGCCTGGAGGTGGTGGCCGCGAAGACCGCCACAAACCCATCTGGTACAATTCAGGAGTCTGAGTATCAAAGGCACCCTCGAGTGCAGCCTCAGGCAAGACTACTGAGTCCAGGTAGGGCTGGATTAGGGGGCCATCTGACATCCTAAGAGGCCTTGGTAATGCAGTGACATCTGGGAGTGGTTCCTGGCAAGGTCCAGGCCATTTTCCATACTCTGGTCCTCCTGTAGAAATTGACAAAGCCCACTTCTGTCCCAGGCATCTGATCAGAGGATGAAAGGAATATTCCCTAATAGGAAGTGTCTCAGGGTAGCCCCTATGTTATGCAGCAAAGGTATCTCCTCTGAGGAGAAAAGGCCCTCCTGTCTTCCTGAAAATGGAGCCCACTATACATCAATGAAAGAGTGGTATACCCATGTGATCATAAGTGCTATACGGAAGTCCAAAGATATCCATGTCTAGTCTTTAAACCACAGTATGCCAATGTAGGCCTGAGTATACTTACCTAGGCATATATGCACTAATGTTATGGAGAGGCCCTGGTCCAGCCTCAGCTCATCAATGGCACAAAAGTTCCATCTCCAATCTTTTTTTTTTTTAATATTTATTCTTCAGTTCTCGGCGGACACAACATCTTTGTTGCTATGTGGTGCTGAGGATCGAACCCGGGCCGCACGCATGCCAGGCGAGCGCGCTACCGCTTGAGCCACATCCCCAGCCCCTCCACCTCCAATCTTAACACTGCCCAGATCCTCTATCCTTTTGCCTAGGAGAGTGGGACATCAGTCTTTCCATCTGCTATAGCCATCAGAATGATGGTGATCCACTACTCTTGCAGCACCAAATTAGATAGGGTCCACTACCCTTGTAGCACCAAATTAGAGAACTCAGGTCAAAATTATCCCTAGGGGTCTGTGCCTTCAGATGAGGGGTCAGAATGGTCTGCACAAAGTTTGACCAAAAGCTCCATTTGTCAGGATCTCCTGAATCCAGATTGGGAGCCATCATGGGAGTCCTGGTTTCATGGGTGATAGTAGGGGCATATGAATTTGGTCAGAGCCTGACACAGAAGGTAGAAATATGGCCACAATTCTTGTACCCTAATCTTTGTAATGGTGCCACATTTGGTAGTTGGGGGAAGGTAGAAGTCTATTAACAATCACAAGAGGATGGCTAAAAGTTTCTTTTAGGGTCTGGGTACTTGTCCTTTTCCCTTCCCATATGACCTCAGAATCCTCTGGCTGCTTTCTATTTCCTTGTCTTTAGAAGGATTCAGATACTCCTAAATATAAGCACGCACTCCACTCAGCAATGCCCTAGGCCTCACCTGGTGCCCTTAGCTTCTCAGGGTCTCCACACTGATACATAGTCCAGATGTCCAGCAAGAATTGCAAAATCTCCTGCTCCTCTGGGATTAGTGTTTTTAGGCCCTAGAAAGGAAGTGTGGGGTCCCACCGGCCAGGGTCTCAGGGGCTACCAACTTGGCATTTCCAATCTCTAACTAGCCTTATCTATGGCCTATCTATGGTTGAGAGGATTGGTTTTTTATTCTCAGGCCAATACAATCTTACCGTCTACTTTAGTTGTCTTCCCAAACCAGCAGTTTTGTTCCCCTGTATTTGGCTGGGCCATGGTTATGCAAACAGAAACCATTTCCATGAATAGGAAGAGTTTGACCTCCAGGGATGGCACCAGTCCAGGTATATCCTGGAAAGGAGATCTCTCTTTGGTGATGTCCAGTCCATAGCTCAGGGCAAGAGGGGTAGGTCCATCCTTCTCTGTACCTGTTAATTATGGGAACTAGAGAGATGGTGGGGGTTAGGGGTAAGTATCATAGGGTACCTAGCTCCCTGAGGGGGTGATGCCCAGAAAGTCCCACATGAAACTCTGTGGGAGCACTCATCAGAGCGCAATCTGACTTGACCGAGACTTTGGCGGATGCCAAAGGTATAAATGGAATCAAACAGGATGAAGTGTGAAGAGTCTACCTCATCCTGGGAAGATGATCCCAGAATCTATCCTGTTTTCCATTTGGTACCTTGTATCATCTAAGTAGACTCTGGACCCATATCCACCTGAGTAGAGAGATCTGGTAGAGATTTAGATGTGAGCGAAGGCAGCAGCCTGGTAGAGATTTCCCCAAGAGCCAGAATGTGAGGAAAGCTGGGGTCAGAGCTTGAGCTCTGGGTAGGGAAAGGAAGAAGAGCCAGCAAAAGATTCTGAGACACAAGACAAGCAAAGCAGCAAGAGGAAGCTGAGGTCAAAAGAGATGAAAATATGTCAGCAAAACTTCAGCCAAGACAAACTAATATTTACTCTCTAGTTTTAGCTTTATAATGATTTTTCAAGAACACTTTTAGGGAAGAAGTGGCAACAGATTGAGATGGCAAAAAACAAGGCAGGAGAGCCTATGAGGGTAGATGGCTTGAAGAACTTGACTGGAGGGAAAGGATAGACTAGAGGAATTTGGTCCTAGGAGGTAACTAAAGACAGGCAGCTTGTAAGTACCTAACTTCCGAAAAGGAGGGGATAGGGGCTTGGAGAGGGGAAACCCCCGAAGGGTCCTCAGGGCAGTTAGCGCATACCATGGGGGGAAGTGCCTCAAGTGTGGAGCAAGTCAGGGTGAAGTGGGGTAGGAATTTTAGTCAAGGTCTATGCAGTCTGTAACTAGCCAAGGCACCACCATTTCTGTGCTGTTCTCTGACTTCAACTGCCATCCCCTGAAAAGGCTGAAGGCTCTCTCTGTGGCCATAGGGAAGAGTTTACCCACAATCTGGAAAGGCCAGAAGTCAGGTAGGCCCCCAAATAGTTCTCCACCCATAACTAATGGGGATTTGAGAATGAGAACCTTAGCTCCCACTGCTCTGTAGGCCCATGTTCTACACTAGCTTCTAAAATTCCCAGAAGGATCATGTGGTCCCAGTTGCCCACAGTAGTAACCTGCTTGATGATACCTTCTTTAGTGGCTGCTTTCCCTGTCTTTTTTTTTTTTTTTAATTTTTTAGTTGTAGATGGACACAATACCTTTACTTTTTTTTTACTTGGTTCTGGGGATGGAGCTCAGTGCCTCAGGCATGCTAGGCAAGCGCCGTACCACTGAGCCACAACCCCAGCCCATCCCCTGTCTACTTTCTACTCGTCTGTTGATGCTCTCTGACTTCATCACCCATACTAATAATATGCACTTGTATCTTTGCCTCCAATCTGCTGTGGGGAAAACACAGACACATACTCACACAATCTGTGAAAGAGGGACAAGGAGCCCAGTGCGGTGGTGCATATATGTAATCCCAGCAACTGGGGAAGCTGAGGCAGGAGGATCACAAATTTGAGGCCAGCCTCATCAGGTCTTTAGTGAGACCCTGACTCAAAATAAAAAACAGAGCTGGGGATGTAGCTCAGTGGTAAAGTGTCCCTATGTTTAATCACCAGTACCTTGAATAAAAGAAAGAAAAAGAACAAAGCAGTGAACTGACACACTACTGCAAGGACCTCTTCCCTTAGGTAACCTCTGACTTGTACAAGTGAGCCCCCAGCTCAAAGACTCAGGTAATATTCTGAGTGCTCCAATGCTCCAAATGCTCCAAGGTCTGAGTATGAGCTAGTTGCGTCCTTGCCACACCAATTTGCTCTCACCTAACTCTAGCGTTGGCTAGATGCAGGCCTTGGAACCTAAAGATGCACAGTCTCAAAAGTACCTTGGGCCCCAGAGTAGCCTCAGTCTCAGACCTCACAGGATGAGACCAGTGACCCACCTGGGAGGGCTTCTGACCTCTGACTCTTCTAGTTCATCCTCTGGTCAGAGCTACTCAAGAATTCCTTCCACCCAGGCCTATGAGACCCTGAGGCCACTGTCTGCTCCTCCATCCCCTGCTGATCTTAATATGCACTATAGGATCTATTCTGCTCCCTGTTTTGTGCTTGGGTTAGGGCAGTGAGCCCGCAGCCCCGGAATAGAGACCCAGGCCACGCCCTAAGTGGCCTCCAGATGGCGCAGCCGAAAAGCCGGTAGTTGGGCTCCTCCAAACTCAACTGCTCTGGACTGGCGCCGGCCCCTCAAGCCCGCAGATTCCAGGCCTTGCTTACTCAAGCTGGGTCCGGCTCAGAACGACCCCTAACCATACCAGCATTGTGCCGCGCTGCCTCATTTCTACTCCCGCCTGGGGCCGGACCTTAAATCCTGGCAGGCCCACTTTCCACATGTCCATTTATTTGTTCATTTGTGTGTGTTCGTGGGTCGGTGCGCCCTTCTTCGGCCGCGGCACGTGCAGAGTTAAGGCGGGAGGAGGTTTCCCAGAGTCTGGGGAAGGGGGAGCGAGGGGCGGACCCGGTCCAGCCCCGCCCCACGCCCGAGCGGTGCGGGAGCCCCGCCGGAGCTCGGCTACAGCCCTAGCCAGAGCGGGCGTCAGCGGAGGCGGAACGGCGGACCCCGTGCCCCAGCGGCACGGAACCCGGCGGGTGAGTCCCACGGGAGCCGCGCTCAGGGGAAGTTTGGGGCGTGGAGCGTAGAGCCCCCAAGCGCACTTGCCCAGACCTGCCCCCACCTCAGCGAACTGGAAGTTTGGGGCCAGGAGGAGAACCATGGTCTGAGTGGAAACCCCCAGGTAAAGGGAAAGCTGAAGAACTTGAATCCCGTGCGCATTCCTGCAAGAAACGCCCTGGCTTCTGGTACCCTAGAGTCCTGTGTTCAGGAGATTCCCCAAACCAGTACCCCCTTCTTCTAGACGCCAGGGAATCTGCTTGCATGGGAGAAATCCTTGAGGGTGAACCTCTAGGGGAGTGTGGATCCCTGGCACCCGGCCTCCTGAGCCTCAGATACCCCGGACCCTGGTCTTTTGCTGGCGAGAATGGTTGAACACTGTGAAATGGTGGT